ATTCAATGAAAACTTCTCACTTTTGAGTAAACCCTAATGAGCAACCTATTGAAAAATCAAATTTCATGAGCAAAGCCTACTCTTGGGTCCCTCAAGAACCATTCCACTGAATTGAGTCCTATATACAACACGAGGTACTGATGAATAAATTCTCTAACTGCTACGCAGCAGATATTCTTTAGCAAAAGCATTTTCTTTTGTGGCTCCAATTCCAATCCATGTTACAGGTGAAAGATCCAAAATTAAGTCTTGCAAAGGAAGTAACAACCGCAGCATGTAAAAGTTGCAAAATTTTGATAATTCATTGGACGTCATTGGAGCACATCAATAATAATATCATAATAAAAGTCAGAGACTTCTACCTGACTTCCTAACTGACTGACACTTTCCACAAAAATTGTCTCATTTTCTGGAAATTTACCCACTGAGCTCCACCTCCCATGTTTCTGATGGATATGATGCTCTAGAATGATCATACGATATGAGAACCATGTATGAAACGATGTATTTATTGGATGAATACGTTATTTATTCATTATTTATTTTGCATATTTGATAAATAATGATTATCCATGGATCGTAATGTATGATCCTAAATTCCTTAGTCGTTTGTCATTGTGGGAACGATGATGAATTAAGACTAACATGAGGCGTAATAGATGATCATAATGATGATCATACGTATTGGATACGGATTACGGTCATGGGTACTTGTTTGGAACAAGTGACTGGATGACTCGCGTGAGATTGTCTATTGGATATAATCCATGACTTGAATCTCACTTGATGGTTCACTTTGGATCCTCAGACCTGAGATATCTATTGTATCCATCATGACGAGTAATGTACTTTGACTGCGTCAAACGTCATCTTTAACAGGATGATAATAAAGGCGTGGCTCGGGTACATTATGAATCATGTAATGGATAGTAGATAGTCAAGATGGAACTTTGTCCCTCTCGAAAGAGAGAGATATCGCTTGGGCCCGTCGTAGGAGTGAGACTGTGGAAATGTGTGGCCACACTATAGATGAATGTCATCTATCTCTAACAGTCTACTCGGGGATACAACAAAGCATTCGAACTATAAGTTCGATTATGATATCGTGAGACAAAGAGGATCATCGTTTGAGCTATCTCTGGCTTTTCGGTTAGATCACATCTAACTCTTTCCGATACGGGTAATCATAATGTCTTGCTACATGGGACAGTACTTTCCATGATATGAGCAGAACAAGAAAGCATTTCTCATCTATAGTTATTAGTGGGTTTTACTAATTACCTCTTGAATATCACTTGAAAAAAGCATAGGTGAATGTTCATAAAGTCCCTCTTTCATCCTGGTGGTTATCAATGCCGTGGACAGAAGGCTTTGAACCCTGATTCCTTGAAGATTTTTGGTAAGCAACTTACTTAGAGATGCAAACTCCTCTGAAGTTAGACAGAACACACTGACAACACACTGTTGCAATATCATACCCCAACTCCTTTGAGGCTCTATTTACACTGACAACCTCGGGGAGTTTATCAGTAAAAGGAGTTCCAGTTAAAATTGGCCTTTCTTCTAAACGATACCCTAGACCACCAAAATCACAAGCCACAGACACTCCTGTGAGAAAAATAGTTAATGGAAACATTAATTCAATGAAAACTTCTCACTTTTGAGTAAACCCTAATGAGCAACCTACTGAAAAATCAAATTTCATGAGCAAAGCCTACTCTTGGGTCCCTCAAGAACCATTCCACTGAATTGAGTCCTATATACAACACGAGGTACTGATGAATAAATTCTCTAACTGCTATGGTTGTGGGACGGTCGGGAGAGGAACGGTCGGGAGAGGAACGATCAGGAGAGGAACGGTCAGGGATGGACCGAGAAGCCGCAAGTGATCGAGAAGCCGCCATTGACCGAAAAGCCGCCAACGACCAGATTTGCCCCAGCGCCGTGGACATCGCTGTCTAAAGGGGGCGGTATTGATAAGTGTCCCACATGA